GCTGCAGACCAGGCTGGCCTCAATCACAGAGATCCGCCTGCCTCTCCCTTCCCAGTGCTGGGATTAAAGGTGTGTGCCACTACCAACTGGCAATTTGTGTGTGTGTGTGTGTGTGTATGTGTGTGTGTGTAGAGATCCACACTTTAAAATATTTCTCCAAGTTAGCAATGTCCTTCAAAATTTAAATGTAGCTATCTTTAACCCAGTAATTTCTTTCCAAGAAATACACATGAGTAAGCATTCAAAGTGCAGAAAATATTCCAATGCAGCACTGTTTATACAGTATTATTTAAAAACTGGGACAACTGGACACACGCTTGAACGGCTACCACTGTGAAATTGGATAAATAACTTATGGCACGCCCATGCAATTAGGGTAGCGTGGAAACATGAAAAATACTGCAACAGCTCTCTCTGCACTGACCTGGAAAGATGTCAGCCCCGGAAAGGAAAGAGGCAAGATAAAATGGAGAATACAGGATCAGTGAGAAAGCCCTGAGGGTCCAGGCACTGGTGGCCATCCCTGACCACCTGAGTTTAATCTAAGACACCCACATGATAGAAGGAGAGAACTGACTCTCACAAAGTGTCCTCTGACCATGAGCATCATTGCATCCAGGAGTCCCCTACACACACCTGTGGCTTCCAGGCTGTGCCTTGCCCTGAGGGACTTCACTTCATTAAACAGCAATTGGCTCCATTCTGAGTGCAAATGCTGAAGCAGGGTGAGCATCTCATTGTACAACACACACACACACACACATTAAATAAATAATTAAATATAAAAAACTCAGAATGTAGAATGAACTCAAGTTTTACAAAAATAAATGTTATTCTTTTGTATAGTGAAAACAAATCTAGAAAGTTAAAAATATCACTTAGCTAGTTATGGAAATTTTGCCTTTCATTGCATTTGTACTTTATTTTTTATAATGGGAATGTGTTGACTTTTAAATCAGAAACAAGAGAAGATGTCTATCTTCATGCTGGTCTTCCTTGTCTCGTCTGGTCCTGTGATGACCCTGTAAGGTGTGTAAAGCAGGCGGAGCTAATGTTCAAAGGAGATCACGTACTCAGGAAGTCACCTGATCAAACAGTGTGTGTGACCCACACGCTCCGCTGCAGCATGCTCCAGCTCTGAATGAAACGTCTGACAGTTGCTGCTGCAGCCAATCAGTGACAGGCATGACGCATCCTTACCTGAGAAACTGCGTCAGAGTCCTGCAGTTAGACCTCAAGAGTGATGGGGAAGCTGGAGGAGAAACCAAGGGAAAATGGCAAAGCGGTCGGGTGACAGTGCCGTGTCCGTACACTGGACAGATCCAGAGGGCATAGACATCAACCCCGACTACAGTTCTGTGGAGTTCGTCCCGTTCCCTGCACTGTGTTACTCCATCTATGAAACTGTGGCTTCCAGGCTGTGCCCTGCCCTGAGGGACTTCACTTCATTAAACTGCAATTGGCTCCGTTGAGTGCAAATGCTGAAGCAGGGCGAGCATCTCATTGTGCAAGCCAGCAACCACCCCACCCCCACAGACCACAGGGCATACTATTGTGGTGATACATTGTGCACCCCAATATATTGTGTAGCCTAATAGTGTATCCTAATAAACTTACCTGGGGATAAGAGAACAGAACAACCACTAGATTCGACATAGAGGCCAGACAGTGGTGGCACACACACCCTTAATTCTTTACTTGGGAGGCAGATATCCGTCTGGATCTCTGTGAATTCAAGGCCACACTGGAAACAGGGCCAGACGTGATGGCACACACCTTTAATCCCAGTACTTGAGATCTCATGTCTTTGCTTGGGAAGGACACACACCTTTAATCCCAGGAAGTGATGTCAGGAAGCAGAAAGGTATATAAGGCATGAGGACTAGGAACTAGAACCTTTTAAGCAGTTCAACTGAGACCCTCAGGGGTGAGGACTCAGAGGCTTTCAGTCTGAGGATTCGTGGAAATAGGATTGGCTGAGGAGTTGGTGAGGTTGGCTGTGGATTGTTCTGTCTCTCTGCTCTTTTAGAATTCACCCCAATATCTGTTTCTGGGTTGTTTTTTGTTGTTGCTGTTGTTGTTTTATAAGACCATTTAGTAATTTGTCTTACATACTATAGCCTATTCTTGCTCGCCAAGAGGTGTCATCTATGAACTTATCAAAGTAAACTGGAATACATGAACACACCAAAATCCTGTCAGAGAAATCCAGCTGGTGAACTTACTGCACACATCGGCTACAACCTCTCTCCTGGGCTGTAGAAGAAGGAACAGCCCAAGACTGAGGCACAGTGGTGCACTGACTCACCACCTGCTCACTCATCATGAGCCTGCTTCAGGAAGGTTGCCATAGTGATAGAATTCTGGTTTAGCCCGTGTGTCTTAGTCAGGGTTTCTATTGCTGTGAAGAGACACCACCACCGCGGCAACTCCTATAAAGGAAAACATTTCATTGGGCTGGCCTACAGTTGAGAGGTTTAGTCCATTATCATCATGGTGGGACATGGCGGCATGCAGGCAGGCACGGTGCTGGAGAAGGAGCTGAGAGTTCTACATCTTGATCTGTAGGCAACAGGAAGTGAACTATGTCACTGGGCACAGCTTGAGCACAGGGAGTCTCAAACCCCACCCCCAAAATGACACACTTCCTCCAACAAGGCCACACCTCCTAATAGTGTCACTCCCTTTGGAGGCCATTTTCTTTCAAACCACCACACCATGCAAAGCCTTGGGTTTAAAGCGCAGCACCCACCCACATCTGTCTCAGTCTCCAGGCTCCAATGCAGGACAATACCTACTGCCCTTAGCACCGTCTGCTTCAAACTGACCCTCAGACTGCCCGCCTTCCATCCAGACCTGTACCTGACAACCGTTCTGCCTTGTAGCTTCATGAAAGCTCTTATGTACTTCCCTACAGGACTCTTCTGACCAGTGGACATCGGCATTGGCTCTCTGTCCCGGCCTCTAGTGGAGCCTCTCTGAACTCTGTAGTCCATTTATCCCTTTCTTAGCCACTATAACACGCATGCACGAGCACACACACCACACACACCACACACACCACACACACACACACACACACACACACACACACACACACACATAAAAAAAAATATATATATATATATATATATATATATATATATATATATATATATCATTATAATAGGGCTGGAGAGACTGCTCAGTGGCGTGGATAAGGCACTTCCTGCAGCCTGCCACCCACCCCCACATGGTGGAAGGAGAGAACTGATCCTTGCAAGTTGTTCTTTGACCTCCTCCACCCACATGCCATGGCACATGGCACACACACACACACACACACACACACACACACACACACACACAAATGCACAATAAATAAATAAATGTCGTAAGAAAACATCATTCTACAAGAAGCTGTGGTTGCCGATGGCCATGTCATCACGGGCAGCAAAGCAGAGGCAGATCACAAACACATATCCAGAAACACTTAACATAGTTGCCTCTCTCACTGCTTTGGGAGAAAGCCCAGCAATGGCAACTTAAGGAAGGAAGGTTTGTTTGGGCTCACAGATTACAGGTATAGTCTGTCATGGCGGGGAAAGCGTGGCCACTGGGACATACGGCAGCTGCTCACACTGCGTTCGCAGTCAGAAAACAAAGAGCGATGGACCGCGATGCTCAGCCAGCTTTCTCTGTCATTCCATCCAGGAGTCCAGCCTGCAGGAGGAAGCCACCACACATCAAAGTGGGTTTTCCCTCCTCCGTTAAGCCACTCTGGAAATCGCTTCATAGACACACCCACAGGTGTGTTTCCGTGGTGATTCTAAACCCAGGCCAGTTCATAAGGAAGATGAACCACCACAGCTCTGCCTCTGTCGTCATGACAGCGAGCCTCCCACGTTAAGTCGCAGCACTCCACTCTCCTACCACGTTAAGTCGCAACACTCTACCCCTAAAAGTCTCATTCTCAACTCATAATGCAGAATGCAAAATGTATTTAGTCCATGTCCTGGTTTTGATTCTGCTGCTTTAAAAGTCATCATCCTTAAAAATTCCAACTCTTGAGGGAAAATATAACTCTGTGTGAAATGGTAAGAATTAGCTAGAAGAGACAAAGGGGGCGAGAAAGCAGGTTAATGAACTCTTCTGTGTGTCAGGATCTAAGATGGCCAAGGCATCCAGAGAAGAACGTGACAAAGATTCTACATCAGACCAGGGTGACCAGATGATAGAGCGTGAGCTTGGGACAGAGCTGGGTTCCCAGGCAACCCTCACCTCCTATAAGTCAGTGTTCAAGACACCCGACCTATGTGGCTGGTGCTGCCACCTCAAAGAAATTTTTAAAACCTACTTTTCGTGTCTATTGGCGCAATTTGAAGAAATATGGATAGCCCTGCTGTGGTGCCGGGCATGAAGCAGGTATTACAGTTGCTGGTGTTTTAAAGGCAAACTCTTGAGACCTGGGGAGTGCTGAAGTAGAAAGGTTTATTGAGCTGTTACAAACAGAACCCAGAATAGGACAAGGTCCCAGGACACGTGTCACAACCGCTGCAGCAGGGCCAGATAGTGGTTGGCTAGATGATGACATGTCTCTCCTGCTTGTCAAAACCCGAAGAAGGAAAACTTAAGTCTTTGAGCTTAGGCTTAATAAACTATATCCCAGTTTATTAATAAAGTGAACACCAGAGGGTCAGATAAGAGAAGGCAGGGAGAGTCTGGGGGCAGGATGGCAGTTCCTAAAGAGACACACAAGCTGCTCTTGGGCCAATGGGGGTGTCTTCGTTAGGGTTTCTGTTGCTGTGAAGAGACAGACCATGACCACAGCAACTCTTATGAAGGAAAACATTTAATTGAGGTGGCAGCGTACAGTTTCAGAGGTTCAGTCCATTATCATCACGACAGGGAGCATGTAGGCAGACATGGTGCTGGAGAAGCAGCTGAGAGTTCTAGATCTTACAGGCAACAGGAAGTGATCTGAGACACTGGGCGTGGCTTGAGCATAGGAGACCTCAAAGCCCTCCTCCACAGTGACACACTTCCTCCAACAAGGCCACGCCTACTCCGGCAAGCCCCGCCTCCTAATAGCGCTGCTCCCTTTGGGAGCCATTTTCTTTCAAACCGCCACAAGGGGTGAGTAGCCCAGAGAGTCTGTGTGTGAACTGAATGCTGTAGCACCTGGATTCCCCACCGGGGTTCTAGCATATGCTCAGGACTAGGGACAGTGTTTGCTGGTTTTAGCCACAGCTCTTAACTGATTACCTTCCCCATCCCACCCTGTCCAACCTCTTAATTAAATTTAGAAAGTTTAGAATCATTTGCCTTATCAATAGTATTAAATGGGGCCAGAGAGAAGGCTCAAGGCAGGCTGTTCTTGCAGAGGACACAACCTCCTGGAGCGCCAGCAAACCAAAGTGATGTCATCAGGGACTGGAGAGATGGCTCGGGAGTGGGGAAGTAAGGAGAGGAAGGCAGATCCCTGGGGCCACGTGGCCATTCTGCTCCACACCAGTGAGCGATCTCAGGAAACGTGAGTGGACAGTGCCTAAGGAATGACACCTGAGGTAACCCTCTGACTTCCACACGTGCACGCACAACCACATGCACTTGCTACACACACACACATTTTTTTTTTTTTTTTGGGTTTTTCGAGACAGGGTTTCTCTGTGTAGCTTTGCGCCTTTCCTGGAACTCACTTGGTAGCCCAGGCTGGCCTCGAACTCACAGAGATCCGCCTGCCTCTGCCTCCCGAGTGCTGGGATTAAAGGCGTGCGCCACCACCGCCCGGCCACACACACACATTTTAACTATTGAATTAATTAATTCAAATACAATTTTTCAGTTGTAAACACATACATGGAGACTGTGATTGTCAACTTGACTAGATCTGAAATCAAGTAAAAGGCAAGCCACTGGGCACTCCCGTTTGAGATTTTCTCGGTCATGTTATTTGCAGTGGGAAGACTCACCCTGATTGTGGGCTGCACCTTCCAGCGACAGCCCAGATAAAAGATGGAAACGGGAAGTTTTGCTTTTACCCACGTGCCTTCATGCTCACTGGCAAGCCCGTCTGCTCTGTGTTGCTGATGCTGCGTGCCTTAGCTGATGTTAGAACCCAACTTCAGGCTTCTAATGTAGCCTGAAGACCAGCAGCTCTCCAGGAATCTTCAGGGCCTTTAGTGCCTGATTGGGACTGCAGAGACACCCAACCTCATGATGTGAGCAACTGCAGGTTTCTTGGCTTCTCCTGTGTGAGACAACCATTGTTGGACTACCCGGATGTGTAAGCCAATCTAATAAATTCCCCTTTAACAGATATTCATTCTGTTGGTTCTGTTCCCCTGGAGAACACAGACTAATCCCCATACATATATAATCTATACATGATATATATATAAAATTCTGGGTGCCCGTTCTTATTTTTGCATGATTCACAAGTTAGTAGTTTTACACTATTAAGCTTTTTTAATCTGAAGAAGAAAATCCCATGGTGTGAAATGTGCATGTAATTAAAATTTATACCAATAAATGTTTTATTGACACAGCCTCACACATTATTCATTATAATCTATCTAGGGTTGTTTTCTTGTTCTGATGGTGGAGCCGAGGTGTCGCAGTGGACGTGACGTGACTGTAAAGCCTCAGTAGTTATTCCCTGGTTTTCTTTAAGTCCGGCAAACCCCCGACTTAAAGAGAAAGTCACCCTTGCCTTTGAAGTTTGCCCTCCCCGTCGCCCCTCTGTCCCTCTTGCGTTCCTTCCCACAAAGAGGTCCTTGTCGGGTCCTGTGATCTTGCTTGCTTCTGGGCTCTGCTATCCTTCTCCTAAACAAGTCCTTGCTCGATTTTGCCCATTTCCAGCCTGTGGAGAAAACCCTGCTGCCTTGTCTCTCGGGCTGTGGTTTCATTTCCTCGCCCAACAGTATTTTTGAAATTCAGCAGCAGCTGGAGCTCCTGCATTCCCAGTCATGGCAGAATGGCATCGTGTTTCATGAACAAGCCACAGCCTCCTTCTTCCTCCACCCTCACGCTGATGGCTCTCCACACGTCCGTGGGTCCTTCTTCCTCTGCCCTCACGCCGACGGCTCTCCACACGTCCGTGGGTCCTTCTTCCTCCACCCTCATGCTGATGGCTCTCCACACGTCCGTGAGTCCTTCTTCCTCCACCCTCACGCTGATGGCTCTCCACACGTCCGTGAGTCCTTCTTCCTCCACCCTCACGCTGATGGCTCTCCACACGTCCGTGGGTCCTTCTTCCTCCGCCCTCAGGCTGACGGCTCTCCACACGTCCGTGGGTCCTTCTTCCTCCACCCTCACTCTGATGGCTCTCCACACGTCCGTGGGTCCTTCTTCCTCCGCCCTCACGCTGATGGCTCTCCACACATCTGCAGATCTTCTCTGTGAGCCATCTTTTCCGGGTCTCCTGGTGCTTTTGTGCAAGAGTGTGTGCAAGTCTGAGCGTGGAAATCCTGGGTGTGCCCATTTGCAGCTTCATCTGGATCACACCAGCTTATTTCAGAAGTGGTTGTCCGGGTCTACGCTCACCTCCCATACAAAAGCGACACCACTGTGCCCAGCATTAGACAGCTTCAGACTTCAGTTTTGCCAATTTGATGGGTGTGAGTAACACCCCACTGTGATAAGATTCTGAATCTCATCAATTACTAATTTAATTTTTACTAAAAAAGATTAAATTACTAAAAAAATTACTTTGAAAACGAGTTGTTTTTTTTTTTTTTTGGTTTTTTTTTTTTCGAGACAGGGTTTCTCAGTGTAGCTTTGCGCCTTTCCTGGAGCTCACTTGGTAGCCCAGGCTGGCCTCGAACTCACAGAGATCCGCCTGGCTCTGCCTCCCGAGTGCTGGGATTAAAGGCGTGCGCCACCACGCCCGGCTTGAAAACGAGTTTTTAAAAGATGAGTGTATCTTTATGTGTCCATTGGCCATTCATGCTGCTTCCACAAAATTCCTCTTTGTTCCCCATACGGATTTTTCTGTATGGGTTGTTTGTCTTCTTCTACTTTACCCCCTCTCGTGTGTGTGTGTGTGTGTGTGTGTGTGTGTGTGTGTGTGTGTGTGTGTGTGTGTACATGCAGGTACACATGCATGTGTATGTTCATTTGTGTAAATGCTTCCATCTCTCTCCTAATTTTTCAAGTCGGGGCCTCTCACTGGACCTGGATGTAGATGTAACCAACCGTCTTATTAAATAAGAAACACAGAACCAATGTAAAAGAGAAAGCCGAGAGGTCAGAGGTCAGAGCTAAAATCTCACCCTTCCTCCTGCATGCTCCTAGCTTCCCGGAAGAGACCTATTTCCTGTGTATCTGTCTCTTCATAGTCTTTTGTTCTGCCTTCTCATTGGTTGTAAACCCAAACATGTGACTGCCTTGTCACTGCCTGTAAGTACAGCCCTCTAGGTCTTAAAGGCATATGTCTCCAATGCTGGCTGTATCCCTGAACACACAGAGATCTATGGGATTAAAGGCGTGTGCCATCACCGCCACGCTCTTTCTATGGCTCTAATAGCTCTGACCCCCGGGCAACTTTATTTATTAACATACAATCAAAATCACATTTCAGTACAAATAGAATACCACCATACCTGGACCTCATCAGTCCCACCAGACTGGCTGTCCAGACAGGACCCTCCCGGGCTGAGGTTACAGACACATACTGCCGGGCCTAGCTTTTTATGTGTGTGCTGGGAATCACACTCTTCCTCTTCTTTTCTCTTCCTATGTACACTCCATGTGCTCTGGGTTTGAGTTATTTGTCAGTTGAAAATGTCTTCTGTGAAACTGTCTTTCTGAGCTCTTATATGGAATCTTTTCACATATACATAAGGTCGTAATGACAATAGAGTAAAATATATTCACCAGTTCTTTCACACCATGAATTTTAACAGAGATAATAGTTTTTTTCAACTAACTCCTGAGGCAGCTCTCCTGTTTGGAAGGTGGTTCTGTTTCCTGAAGTCTACATCCCATCCTAGCTAAACCACAAGACAGGAAAGAAAAAGGGCAAGTGTGGGGAAGCCCTTCTAGGAGAGGGATGGGAGAGAAGGGAGCCGAAAGATGGCCAGGGCCTCTAGGGGACTCAGCACTCCCCCCCCCCGGGGGGGGGGGGCTCTGCTACCTTCACACCAGAGCCATTACAGTACATACAGCACAAAATACAGAGGCCAGGCTGCTGGGGTGAATCTGCATCTGGAGCCAAAATTCTGCCACCACCATGGGACTGATTACCCATCAGGATGGGGCTTGGGGTCTGTTGATATTCCTGAGTAGGAGGGTCATTTGATCCCTCACCTGAGAATCCAGTAACCCCCTCAGTCATTTGTACTACTAATCCTTCCCTAACCCCTGGTGGCCTAGGGCACTCAGGGAGCAGCTAGCCCAGGCTCAGGAAGACCGCAGCTCACGTGACTCATGGTCTATCTGTTGACCTGATAAGGAGCCTATTATGCCAATTGAGCCCAGGTTGGCCTTTGCTGGCTTCACAGACCTTCTGCCTTCCATAGTCTCTATCCAGACCTGATCTGGAATGTCCACCCCAGGTTCCTATCGCTGGGCATGTAGACACCATGTCAGCTCAACAGCAATCCCGTGAATCTTTAGTGGTCACCCAGCTTCTCTGGGAGAGCCTGCTGGGTCATCTGAATCGCTTTCCGACTATGTAGGAGGGAGGAGAGGCTTGGGACTCTTTCTGCCCCGTCTCAACGAAGTTATTCCCCTGAGATGAGCTTCAACCACTGTTACAGACATCCCTTCGGGGGGAGGGGAGCCTACCCTTCTTCATAAGGTCCCAGTGACAAACCAAAGCTCAATTCTACCCAGAATTTACCCTGGGGAACCGATGAGTTTATTGGGTTTACATAAAGAGCATGGGTGAGAGGTTACTGACGGGAGCATGGATGATCCCAAAGCAGCCACACTAAAAAGTCTTCACCAAGTGTGGATAATGGCTTCCCCATAGTTACAGAGATGGATTCTCCTTCCCTGGTCTTCCTGAGACTATAAAGGCAACAGCACAAAGGCCCGTCACCAAAACAGCTATCCTCCCCCAGTCCTCAGAGACAGGCGACCTTCCCTCTGCTGGCTGGGGCACTGAAGAAGGGAGAAAGCCTTGAGAGGGAATTAGGTTCTTGAATTTAACCTGACCAAGTCAGCCAGCCCCAGCTCGGAGTTAGACTTCACTAGGAAGTTTGAGCCACGCATCCACCACACCCCGACCACACTCAGCCATGGAGATGGAGCCTTAGACTGAGGAGATGAAGGAAGAGGAACATTTATGAGCTTCACTACGCATTTCTACCTTACTTCAGTGGCAATTATCTGATCCTTATGGTAAATGGGGAAAGCAGATGTGCAAAACAAAAGTCATCAGCTAAATCCATTGTAAAGTCATGGATAATATACAAAGCACCCACAGAAGTGGGAGAAACGAGCTATGTTTGTGGTGTTCTACAACAAAGTATCATCAACTTAGCACCTTAAACCAAGACATCCTCTCGACTCCCACTGCTCAAACTCTAGGTGTGGTTCATCTGGGGTTTCTGCAAGGTTTCTGTCAAGGTCCTGCCAGAGCTGGGTCTCCATCTGAGCAGTCAGCTGTGGAAGGATCATTTCCAATCTCATGCGCTGTGTAAATTGAACTTGGACATTTACTTTCTTGTTGGGGATTGGAATAAGGGCCTCTGTCCTTGACGGCTAACAGTCAGAGGGGCCACCCTCAGTTCTCTGCCACACGGGCCTCCACAGCATGGCTGCTTTCTTCACCAAAGCTGTCGAGGAAGAGAGGACCTCAGCCAAGACAGACATCACAGTCCTGGGTATGTAACCAGAGACGTCACACCCATCACCTTCACCATTTTATTGGTAAGAAGTCGGATGCCCTGCCCTCAACCAAGAAGAAGAAATGATATAAGGATGTCAACACCAGGAGATGGCATCCTGCGAGACACCTTAGCGTCCAATGCCATACTGCCATAGCTAATCTTAAGTGTCAGCTCGATGGGATTTAGAATCGCCATGACAACAAACTCTTGGGCATCTCTGTGAGGGAGTTGCTAGATTGGCTTAGCTCAAGTGGGAAGGCTCAGGCTAAGTGGGCGATACCACGACACAGGCTGGGGTTCCAGATAGACGAGAAAAGAGAGAGCAAGCTGAGCAGCAACCGTCGTCGTCGCTCTCCGCTTCCTGACTGTGGACGCACGTGGCCAGCCGCCTCCCGCGCCGGCCACCAGATTCCCCATCGAAACAGACTGAGCCGAAATAAATCCTTCCGCTGTTGAGCTGCTTTTTCGAGTGTTCTGTCAC